GTCACAGCGGCGGCAACGCCGACGCCCTGCTGCCCGAGGTCCAGAGCCGGCTTCTGCGTCGGCAGGCGTGGATCCTGCAGCTCCTCGGCCGCAACGACGAGAGCGAGGACCTCTTCGAGAAGGCGCTGGCCGTCTACGGCGGTGGCGAGTCGCACGTCAGCATCGAGGCGCGCTTCGACCACTTCCTGGTCCAGGGGCGCGTGTCGCTCCGCCGCGCCCTGCAGCAGCTCAAGTCGGACCGCCTGCTGAGCATGCTGCCGGACGCGGCCATCTCGATGCCGATGGTGTCGTCGTCGGCCAGCAGCAAGGCGCTCTCGGTGTGCGCGGCGGGCGCCAATGCCGCGTCGGCGGGCGCCATCAAGAGCGCCATGGGCCTGCTCCTCTCGGCCGACTCGGCGTTCAGCGATGCGCTGTCGCAGGGCGGCGCATCGTCGCACGCCCTGTCGGTGAGGGAGGCGTTTGTCTCGCTCGCCCAGGTGCAGACGATGCAGGGCACGCTGGGCAAGGGGTGCAAGGGCGCCGCCGAGGGCGCCGCCGTCCTGGTCGACTCGGCGCTCAGCGTCAACGTCCGCCGCGACCTGGTCCACGCCATCGAACACAAGCTCAGGGACCAGTCGTCGGCCCTGCAGGATCTCAATGCCTGGCCCAGCTTCGTCGCTCACGGCGACGACGACCGAGGAGATGCCGCCTCCTCCTCTGACTGCGGCAGCGATGCCGCCGACGACGACGACGACGGCACGGTCCTGCTCGGCAAGAGGATGGCGAGGCTCGGCCTGAGCAGCAGCGAGCCCGACCCCATCAAGGCTTCGTCGTCGTCGTCGTCGGCGGCGGTCGGCAGCCTCCCGGACTACTGGAAGCTGATCCGCGGTCGCCACATGGCGTCGCAGAGCGCCACGAGCCGCGGCACGCCGGACCTTCTTCCGCGCAACTGGACGGTCCTGACGCTCACCTACCTCAAGGACCGGGAGACGCTGCTGCTGACGCGTCAGACGGGCGGCGGCGGCGCCGACGGGTGCGAGGCCAACGAGCCGACCATCTACTCGCTGCCGCTGGATCGCCAGAGCAACCGCGAGATGGACGACGAGGGCGAGCTGACGATGCGGGCGGCCCAGGAGCGGCTCGAGCAGATTGTGCGGCGCAGCAACGACGGCATCCACGGCGCCAAGGACGTCGACGGCATGGAGGCGCGCAAGCGGTGGTGGACGGCGCGCCGTTCGCTCGACCGGGAGCTCGAGGAGCTGCTGGCCGAGATGCAAAACACGTGGCTCGGCGCCTTCAAGGGCGTGTTTGCGGACCCGGTGCGCGACGGCGCGGCGCTGGCGTCGCTGCGCAGCCGGTTCGACAAGATCATTAAGCGCGCGTGCTTCCCGCCGACGACGGCGCACAAGAAGACGTCGCGGCTCAAGCTGGACGACGCCGTCTTCGAGTGCTTCGCCGGCTTCCCCGCCGACTGCACCGACGAGGACTTTGAGGACCTGCTGCACTATGTCATGGACGCGCTCCAGTTTAGCGGGCTCCAGGTGGCCGTCGACGAGGTCGACCTCGACGAGGTGGCCATCGACCTGCGCAACGCCCTCGAGGAGTTCCGTGGCAAGCAGGCCAAGGCCGCCGGCACCCCGGCCCGCCGGATGCCGCTGGCGCATGGCCTGCTCGACGATGGCAGCGACGACGAAGGCAACGGCGGCGGCTACAGCGGTGGCTATGGTCATGGGTCCGAGGGAGCCGAGACGGATCACCACCTCTTCCTCGTCCTCGACAAGGAGACGGCCGTCTTTCCGTGGGAGTCGATGCCGATCCTCCGCGGCAGGGCCGTCAGCCGCATCCCGTCGATGGCCTTTCTCCAGGATCGCATCGACCTGGCCCGCGTCTACCACCATCTGCCAGGCGAGGGTGACGGTCCAATCCTCAAGGCAGGCCCCGCCAAGACCGCAGCGAATGGGCACCCCAGATCCAGGGCCAGGTCCAAGAGCACCAAGGGCGGCGATGCCGCCTCTGCCGCTGCCGCCGCCTCTGCCGCCGCCGCCGAGCAGCAGGAGGCGTCGTGGAAAGTGGCGCTGCGCAACGGCCGGCTATTCAACCTGTCCAAGCGGCGGACGTCGTACCTGCTCAACCCGGGCGGCGACCTTGTGCGGACGCAGGAGCGGTTCGAGCCGTGGCTCAAGGCGCGCGCCTCTCGGGGCTGGGGCGGCGTCGTGGGCCGCGAGCCTGTGCTCGACGAGCTGCCGCGGCTGCTGTCGACGTCGGACCTGCTCCTCTACTTTGGGCACGCGGGCGCCGAGCAGTACATCCGGCGGTCCAAGGTGCGCGAGCTGGAGCGGTGCGCCGTGACGATGCTGTTTGGCTGCTCGTCGGCGCTGCTGCGCGACCACGGCGACTTTGACCGGACGGGGACGCCGTTCAACTACATGTGCGCCGGTTCGCCGGCCATGGTTGGCAACCTGTGGGACACGACGGACCGCGAGCTCGACTCGGTGTGCGAGGGCATCCTGACCAAGCTGGGCCTAATGGACGAGGGCGAGCGCGAGGCGTCTTCGTCGTCGTCGTCGTCGTCGTCGTCGTCGAGGAGCGCCAAGCCCAGCGGCGGGGGCAAGGCGAGTCGAGGGCCAAAGGAGATGTCGGTGGTGCGCGCCGTGGCCGAGTCGAGGGACGAGTGCAAGCTGAGCTTCCTGACGGGCGCCGCGTGCGTCGTCTACGGCGTGCCCGTCTACTGGGCCCACGAGGATGAGTAGTAGCGCGGCGACGAGCGGGCGGAAGGGCGGTACCGGTAGATAGATAGAGCACCTTCACCATTGGTAGATCGACCGACGAGGTCGGAGGACGAGGATACAGCGACTTCGAAGGAAATGCAGACGAGAGCCACCCTGGTCTAGCCCCTTTTGTGCGCAGCAGGCGTATGTACATGTGGCTGGTCTGTTTTGTGGTGATGCTCTTGAGCGCGGGGCCGAGGATGCCGCAGTCGCCTGGCGGTACCGTAGCTGAGCCGGCGAGGGGGTGCGCGCAGTTCGGCGACGCTTCAACACCCCCCTCGACGAAGGGAAACGGCATGGTCCCGTCGTCGGTCGGTCGGTCGGTCTGTCGGTCGGGAGCGCTCCGAGACGTTTCCTGCCTGGATATGATGGGCCTCCGCCGCTGCTGCCTCTCGGCCAGCCGATAAGGCCGAAGCGGGTCGCCGCTGTGCTGCGCTGGGCTGGTTGGTCGCCGTCGTGTGGCTCGGCGCTTTGGCCGGCGTTGAAGAGGCGGACGTTGGACCTGAGCGAGTGTCGCGCGCTCGGATCCGAGCGTGGCGGACGCCAGTTCGTCGGCGAGGCAGATTTTCTTCACCTC